TTAGTGCTTCAGCGCACAAAACTCTAAATCACTGTCGTGGAGTTATCTCGGAATTGGATCTTCTCTCTGTTTCAGAGGAAGAATTCGTCACAGAAACTCTCCAGTCAGAATGTCTGTGCTGCTAAGAGGATTAAAATGCGTAAAGACGGTCAGTTGATAGATACCAAACACGTTATCCTGACCTTCAGTTCGGGCTGATCTGGCCCAAAAGTGTCAAGGCCGGGTATCTTCATTGTCCAGTAAGACCGTACATCCCGAACCCCATGCGATGTTTCCAGTGCCAGCGCTTTGGTCACTCCCAAAATATCCTGTCGAGGTAAGCCCACGTGTGCACGCTGCTCCGTGGAGGGCCACGACAGTGATAAACTGTAACGCTGCGCCACTCTGTATCAACTGTAAGGGGGACCACATAGCATATTCACGTTCATGCCAAAAATGGAAAGCCGAGAGAAAGGAAGTACAGGCATTGAAAGTACTAGAAACATCACTTATGCGGAGGCTAGAAAAATTATGCTAGTACACAGCCACGTTCGAATGTCTCTTATGCTAATGCTGCTGTAAAATCCGTTAAATCCGTTGCAATACAAACCAATCGGACCCTTAGAGGTAAAAAAGAAATAGTGAACCAGTAAACTCAAATAAGAACAAACTTATACAGACTAATGCAACTAAAAATGTATCAGGAAGCAATATCTCAGATTAAAAACATATTAAATGAAAAAAAATACAGCCACGGAAAACCTTTCTCATTACAAAGAAAAAATAGGAAAGATATTCAAAACATTAAACCTGGGAATCAAAGTTACAGCTCCCTCGAAAGTATGAGCTCGGATTTTGATGATATGGAAGTTGAGGCGGGATTGGAACTTCCAAAAAATCTCCTTCCGCGACAGACAAAACAGCAGCATAGGCAAGACAGACATTCATAATGGCCACCCTTTTTTCATGGAATTGTCGTGGTTTCCACCAGAGTCTCCTGTACATCAAGAACATGATCAATATTTATCAACCAGTCGGCTTCGCTTTGCAGGAAACATTTCTAAAACCTGATAACCAAGTCAGGCTTAGGAGGTATTCCTTTACGAGAAAGGACAATGTTGTTAGTGAACGCGCCTGTGGTGGTGTAGGTCTTCTCACCTCACATGACTATCCGTCAACTGTCCTTCCGTTAGCAACATCCCTTCAAGTGGCTGCTATACAGGCTAATATCAAAGGATTAGTTTCCATCTATCTGCCTCCAAATGAAGCCATTGATCAGAAAGAGCTGGACGAGTTGGTAGACCAGCTGCCAGAGCCGTTTATTATTATTGGAGACTTTAATGGACATAGTCAGCTTTGGGGAAGTAGTGATACAAATCCTCGAGGTAGACAAATTGAGCAGTTGATCGACGATCATTGCCTTTTGTCTCCTCAATAATGGTCAGGATACATACTTCCATGAGCCGACAAGGACCTTTCACGCCCTTGACCTTGCCATCTGTTCGCCATCTCTGTTGCCCTTCTGTACGTTTAGTGTTGGAAATGATCCTCACAATAGTGATCATTTCCCTATATTTGTTACATTTACAAGAGAAGGAATGAATCCCATCATAAGACCCGTTTTATATTTGAAAGGGCGGACTGGGAGCTTTTCTCCTCTCTTGCCCACATTACAGAAGAAGTAGTGAATGATGTGCCGGTCGAGAACGCAGTGAAAGCTGTTACTGACATTATCATCCAAGCGGCCACAGCCTCTATACCTTTGAGCTCTTCAAAACCCCCAAAATACCCAAAACCATGGTGGAACCACGAATGCCAGGAAACTCTGAGAACACAGAGGAAAGCCTGGAGACATTTCGAAGATGCCCCACTCTATCAAATCTTATTGCTTTCAAAAAAGCTAAAGCAAACGCCGAAAAGAGTGCGACGGCAGAGTAAGAGGGATTCCTGGATATCGTATGTGTCTGGGATAACGCCTTCAACACCCAGTAAAACGAGTATGGGAAAAGAGTAAGAAAAGCATGTGGAATATATAATGACCACTCACTTCCATCCTGGAAAAAGATGGCCAAGCGATCAGCACTGCGGAAGAGAAATTGCCAACACACTTGGTGAAACATTTTCTGCAATTTCTAATGGCAGCAATTATTCTCAATCATTTCTGTCCGCTAAGCAGCGCGCTGAAAATATCCACATCAAGTTCAAACTCTGACAAATCGGAACCTTATAACTGTGAATTTTCCCTCCTGGAATTAAGAAGAGCTTGTTACAGACACATCGGTCATGCCCTGGTCCAGATGGCGTTAGTTATGAAATGCTAAAGCATCTTTCCTGTAAATCATTGAATGCCCTTCTCGCTCTGTATAATCGGGTGTGGAAGGAGCATAATTTTCCCAATGTATGGAAGAAAGCTGTTGTCATTCCAATATCCTAGCCAGGGAAAGATCCGAAGAATCCTAATAACTACAGACCCATTGCCCTTACAAGCTGCGTTTGCAAGCTTTTTGAGAAAATGGTGAACTGCCGCTTGGTCTATTATTTAGAAAAGAACAATGTAATTTCCCCATATCAAAGTGGTTTCCGTAAAGGCAGAGCGACTATTGACAATATTGCTCCTTTGGAAACCTCCATTCGTAAAGCCTTTGTCAAAAATAACCATCTTGTATCTATGTTTTTTGACATACAAAAGGCATACGACAAGACATGGAGGCACGGGATTTTGCTTGATCTTTACACCATTGGTTTACGCGGCAACTTGCCAATATATCTGCAAAATTTCTTGAAGGGTAGGACTTTTCAGGTGAGAATTGGCTCTGTAGTCTCAGATGTACTCTCTCAAGAAGAGGGTGAGCCTCAAGGCTGTGTGCTATGTGTTACTTTGTTTAGCTTAAAAATTAATTCTGTTCTGAAAGAACTTCCTCCTACGGTTTCAGGTTCTTTATATGTTGATGACCTCCAAATATGCTGTCAAGGTGCAGACATGAGATATGTAGAAGAGGCAGCTGCAAATCGCTCTTAATAGAATCGATCATTGGTCAAAAAAAAAGAAGGATTTATTTTTTCAAAACAGAAGACTGTACTTTGCAGAAGTCCATTTTTGCAGTAAGCGTAATCTTCACCCTGAGCCTGAACTATATATTGGAGAATCAATGATTCCAGTGGAAGTCTAAAGTAAAATTTGTAGGAGTGATGTTTGACCGAAAAGTTGACCTTCCTTCCCACGCATCTTATACCTAAGGAAGAAGTGTTTGAAGAGACTGAATCTTTTGAAAACTCCTGGCGAACACCTCCTGGAGTGCGGACCGTTGCTCGTTACTCCGGGTTTATAGAGCACTTATACGCTCTAAACTTGATTACGGGTCAATTGTTTATGGTTCTGCAAGGCCTTCCATATTACTAAAACTAGATCCCGTTCATCATCAGGCACTACGTATATCTTCTGGTGCGTTTAGAACATCTCCAGTCCAGAGTCTCTATGTTGACTGCCATGAACCATCGCTTTGGTTAAGACGTGAGCAGTTGTCTCTCTGCTACTATTTCAATGTTATGTCACTTCCTGACCATCCAAACCATATTTCTTTCTTCGATGACAGTTACAAACTCTTGTTTGAGGCTAGACCATCCCATACGCCTTATTTCTCACTTAGGGTTAACTCTCTAATTGAGAAATACCACATGACAGATCTCTCTACCCAGGCAGTAAAGCATTTCGAAATCTCACCTTAGGAAGATGCTCGGATTTCACTATTAGACCTTTTCCAGCATTTTGCCAAGCAAGATACTAACGAGTTTGTGTACAGACAACTTTTTTCTGACCACAGGCGCAAATACAATAGTTACGTCCCTGTATACACAGACGGATCAAAAGCAGCAGGACACGTTGGTGCATCCTTTATTATTGAAGACCACATTTATGGTAAAAGACTGCATGACGCCTCCTCGGTCTTCACCTCAGAATTAAATGCTATATATTATGCCCTTTTGTTCATTTCTAAGCAATATCGAAGACAATTTATTATATATACAGACTCGTTTAGTGCCTTGAAATCCTTAAATTCAAGTCATAAGGCTCAGAATCCCAATGTTGTTGATATTTTGAGCCTTAACCTCAAATTAAGAAGCCGTGGGTATGATATTCTTTACTGTTGGGTTCCAGGACATGTGGGTATTAAAGGGAACGAGCTAGCAGACATCACAGCCAAATCTGCAGTTCATTTTGCGCATCGCCTCGTCCCGTTTAATGACATCCGTAAAGTCATCAAGGACAAGTTGTTGTTTTTAAATGGCAGGAAGTCTGGGATACTCAGCCAGCAAATAAGCTGAAAAGTATCAAACCAAAAATTGAATGCGGGGAGTCAAATAGGAGCCGGAAGGAGGAAGTTTTGCTGACCCGTCTGAGAATTGGTCACTCATATATTACCCATAGTTATCTGTTTTAAAGGTGAGAGTGAACCGGCGTGTCCAAACTGTTTTGCTGTAATATCAGTTCGTCATTTTATTAGAATGTCCAAATTTTAAAAATCTTCGTTTGAAAACTTTTTAAGAAATGTGACTTGCCTCTGACCATATCATAGGAAAAGAGGTCAATCCAAAATTTGTTTCAGTACCTGAAAGAAATAGGTGTGATTTTTATCAAATATAATTTGATTTTGTTGTGTTACCTATTTTTTTTAATAAGAAGTTTTTAATATATCTCATGTTTGATGATTTTAGTCTTGTTTTTTGTAATTGAAATAATTATGTGATGTGTGTAGTATTTTATTCAAACATTTTATCACTGTATTCATTAGCATTGTAGATAATCCCATCATTGTATTTTAACCTATTCTTGTGATTTTTATGTTATCTGTTTGTTTATATGTCTGTTGGTGTTAAAAAGTTTCTTTGACATGTGTTCCGGCGCAGATAACCATTGAGGTTTTGTGCCAAGAAACCCATCATCATCACACCACCTGATGCTTTTTCTCGTATGTCGTAGGTTGATATATCCTAGTCATCTGTTTTGTAAAGCACAAAGAAAGCACAAATTAAAAACCTTTTATTTCACTTACATCAAGTATGCTCGTTTGGTAGATAACTCAATTTCACACAGCGCAAGCAACTCTCAACAACCTCAGAAAACCATACAATATTAAACCTTTAATTGATTTTACTAGACTGAGTGCTGCTTTAGTTAGTTAATTAATTTTTGGGCGATAAATTACTAATTATAGCAAAAAACAGCCTCGTTCAGTGGTAAAGTGGTTAGATGTTAAAAGAATAATTCCCTATTAAAATAATTAATAACTATACTAATATTTGTTCGAGTTACTGGAAGACATTTTTAAATGAGACAATATAACGGTATAAAGTCATCTCTGTGTTAAAACTTCACATATGTATCAGCATCAAAATTCAACATGCACCAGGAATATTTTCAACTGTTGCCAGAACTCAAGTAATATGTGCTCCAGAACACGCCGAAAGCATTCACTTAACTAAGCCAAAGTTTTAGCCTTCGTATGTTCTTCCTTCACTCAGCCCCACTGGAAAAAGGCGACATGAGGGGAGATCAGGATTTCTTACTAACGATTCATGTGGATCCCGACGACAAGGTCAGCATTCCTCTGACTGGGGGTCTAGCCACTCACGACCAGTGCGCATGAAATCGATGTAATTCTAACAAATGGGGATAATAAGTTACATATAATCTTAAGGAATTATTAGGTAACGATTTGCATGCATTCTGTCCCGAATGAAAAATCACTTCGTAACTTAACTGAAAGTCGCGTCGAACTCTATTGTGACTTCGAACCGATTTTGTATATTTTCAACAGTGGTATAGAATATTCTAGTGTCCAGTAGCGACAATTGTAGCGGTTCACAAATCCTCCAATATAGAAGACGGCTTCGTCACTCTAAATGGCATTGTCAAACACCTGCGAACAGTCAGATGCCTCTCTGAATTCCATTCAATGATCACAATTTTTCGCTTACAGTTGTTGGCAATAACGATGTTTCTAGGTTAATTCTTTAAAACAACTTTTAGTGTGGAAGGTATGAACGACGTTCCATAGTGCCTGAAGTATTTGTGGATTTCGAGAGAACAGCTCCTAAATAAATTGGAAATTCTTCTCCTCTCTAGATGTTGAAGAACGACTGCTTTTGAGAGCATCTCCCACACATCCTATAGTAATGGTTTTGGTAGGAGTGTTCTTGATGACCTTGTCTTCAATGAAGTCAGTGAACATTCTCCACTACTGTTGAATTTTCAAAATAGACTGTCACGCTTCGTAAAGAGATTCGATTACGGCTCATATTCACGCAATGTCTAGTGTTAGGTCATTTTTCATTGCTGTCATTATTCTGAAATAAAATAAATAAAAACAGCCATTAGAAATATAATTTTTAAACTTTAGGGATTTTGAATTTTGTTTTTGTTTGCAAACACTGGGTTTATAAAAACTTTATTAATAGTTTTTACAAGGAAGTTTTTTTAGGCGCCCTTCTTTAAAAATCTAGTGTAGTGAAAGCGTTATACATTTAATTCATATAAATGTTCACAATAGTGTAACAGAGCTCATGAAAACTAATATAACTTAAAATTAGAATATGGATGATATCTTCTATTTGACCTTTTTATTTAATAATCTGATTTTATTTAATGAAATTTCTTGTACAAATTGTTCATCCTTTAAGTCCTTGAAATTAAGTTAATCCTCATAGTTAATTGTACATAATTAACTATGCACTACAAAGATATCGCTAAATTTGCTTATTTACAAAAATATTAAAATACTTCATTTTTGTAATTAATTGCATATTATACTTTAATCATTTAAATAACTTAAATATAATATAAAAATAGTTATATAATTTCAAGACAAAATGCAAGTATAATACCTCAAGCATGTTAAGTACATTATTGAGTTTTTAATATTCTATGGCCTTTCACAGAGAATAATTAGGGGCACAGTATAATTCATAGTTAAAGCTATTACTTAAAGTAGTAACCTTCATCTATTTTAAATCTAGACGGCGGGAAAGTGTAACAAGGTGAAGTTTTTCGATCAATTTTTCCTTTTCCAACTAAGAACCGGCGTTTTATCCTATTTAAAAGATGGCGCACATTACGTTTATCGTATTCACTTTATGTTGTTACACAATACACTTATGTATAAGACATACAAGAAGTTAAATTAGAGAGAAATTATTAGGGAAAAAACAAAAAAAAAAAAAAAAAAAAAAAAAAGGGGGGGGGACAAATAAAAGAAAAAAAAAAAAAAAAAAAAAAAATCTGAAAGGTTTTAGATTTTAAATTCGTCCAAAGGGGCGTTTATTTAATATTTTGTGCGCTACCTTTATTTATTAAATATCATGTTCTTCGCACTTAAACCATAAAATTCAGTTCAAGAGCAATATCGCAAAATAAATTTAAAATCAGCATATCTTTAGAATTTCCGATACACAGTCTCGCGCGCTGGAGATAAAAATGTTTTTTCTGTACAACGTTGACGTGGCTCGCTTTGAAATCCTTGATTTTGTTAATCAAAAATTCGTTAAAGTTTTACAAAATAATAAAATCAGTCATAAAACAAATTCCAAATTTCCAATTTGGGCTTCCAGATGCCCATATTCGCAGGAGAATTAAGTTATTTAAACTTTCTAGGTACCGTTATTTTATCACAATGCCAGAACCAAAGACACATTTATGCAGATTCTTCATTATTTAAATTCTTTAAGTATAATACAGGGCAATAATATTGGGTGGCAACAATTTGAAAAGTGAAACAACGTTTGTAATGAATGAACGCAAAGTGCTAAAACGAAATTTATAGTCCTTCTGGGCAAATTGAGCTTTTGGATTAATTAATTATTATATGCTAATCAAAATATTACGCTGCATGCATCTAGGTATAATATATATAACGTTAGAATCATTTTCCCCTTCTTAGTAAGGAAGCGAATAAGAATGGATGGCTGTATAATCAGTATGTATATTTTAATAATTTAATTTACGCTATTTATATAAATAACGTAGTGTAGATTATATAAATTAGATATATTGTTAAAAATGAACATATATATGAAGAAATACATATATATTGCTTTTAAATACCTCAATTAGTTAATTAAAATATTGCTTCAGTTTGAAAGATCTTTTACAGTTATTATCTTATGCTCAGTAGTAGCATCTCTGAGCAATGACAATTATTTTAGGCCATAAGGATGGTAACCCGCCATCTAGATGATGCCTCGCCGCCTCGTCTGGTGTGGCCGAATGCCAAATTGCCTCAAGGGCTATCTTCTTAATGAGAAAAATGCCTTCGTGGAGAGCTTTCTATGGAGAGCTAGCTTATGCACACGTTACACAAGGAGGAAACCATAAAAACGCTTATGCAGCTAAGCCCTTTCGCTGGAATTCGAACTCCGGACCGAAATATCAACGTTCAGCGACTTTACCAATCGGCCTCTGGTGGGCTCGGAGAATGGTGTGGATGTTTGTAGTTGTCTATGACCTATTCTGAAGGTGTAATTTCGATCGCCCCCTGCGTTGGGTGCATTTTGGACAGCGTTGTTTTGACGAAAAGACGGTTGTATAGCTCATGGGTTTGGCTGTTCACAAGTGCTTAATGAGCGTTTGCTCGTTAACTACTCGTACCTTGGGGAAGGGGGGGATTCTTATGCTTTTATAGTGCAAATGTAGATATACTTGACAGATATCATACATAATAACTGCTCAAGTAATATAAACCTAAAGTGAGAGCAAAATGAGAAGTCGAATCTACAACCATTTACGGTAAAACATAAAATAATTGAAAAGATATAATTGCAAATAATTTAAGTTGTGGATGATATTTTATAATGGTTCCTTAATACGAAAATTTTATTTAATGTTGATGTATTATTATTTATAACTTCAGTTAAACAAGCCATAAAATAAACTATGCATGTTATACACAATATACATAAAATTACAGTTACTTATTTAAAATTATATGTATATATCGCAAAATTTTGACCAAAATTGGTCTTTTTTCGTTTGTTCTTACAACCTTACTTATAATTATATATATATATATATATTAACAGCTATTCTATAATTTAAAAAATGGGAATGTTTTCTCCTCTAAACAGGATCAGATTTTAAGAATAAAACATAACAATTGAACATAACAAGTGAGCATATCATAACAATTGGTTAGTTAATTAAAGCGTAGCACACAAGATTCTAGGGAAAATAAACCTTGAGTGCTTTGCCATAATCAACCAAACAAACTCTATTAGAAGCATTGCCTTCGTGGAGAATTTTCCAAAAGAATCTATCTTCTCTTTACTTATAGAGTCTTACTTTGAAACAGGAACTTCATAGCTTCCCTCCTCTCATTTTCCGTTGTAATATACGTTATCACCACTGTTCCGTTTTTTTGGTAGATAGGTGGCGCTCTTGATGCGCGCCGATGAAAAATATCACTTGACGCTTGAACATGAAGAATGACGCATGTCATATTTATTTGATGCTTGATTGTTTCATGGCCGCTATAAGCGGAAGTAATATAAGTTTATCGTTAATAAATGTTCTGTGAACTCTTGAAATTTTGATTTGAAATTCTAATGCTCTCCCAACCTTGACTCCTGAAACGAAACGATCTTTGAATTTATGACTCATGAAGAGAGACACCACACATATTTGTTGGTGCCGAAACCCGGGAAAAGGGGAATTACCTTTTGAAAGGTAAGAACTTTTTGCATTTGTTCTTGGTATCGATCTTTGAAAACGAAACTAATGGATGATTTAGCAAAAGAGAAAAAGAAACGTGCTATTTGTACGTAGTAAAGTTACACATTTCTAAATAAACTTGAGAAATTATTATCGGAAGAATTAAGTAAAGAACATGTAGAAGATCTAAATTCATCATATGAATTGTTAATTGAATACCATGAGAAACTTAAAACTCTTGACTCAAAGATCGATGCTCTCATAATTGATGAAAAAGAATATGATAACGAACTACTTGTATGTGAAGAATATGATGAAAAAATTATAACGTTTAAAGCTAAGATTGTTAGTAAAGTAAAGAAAATTAACAGTAATGAAGTTGTTGAAAAAGTATAATTACAACTAGTAATGGTATTAGTAGTACTCTGAATGGTAATAATGTTGTTACAAGTAGTGCTTCAGTAAAGTTACCTAAATATTGAAAAAATTTGCTGGTGATCCCAGTAAATGGCTCGAATTCTTAATTCGTATGATAATGCTATTCATTCTAATCCAAGTTTATCTAAAATAGATAAGTTTACATATTTGAAAAGTTTATTATCTGGTTCAGCATATAATTGTGTTTCTGGTTATGCTTTATCTGAAGAAAATTATGATCTATATGCATTAAAATTTTAGAAGAGAGGTTTGGTCGTAAAGATGTTATTATATCAAAATTCATGCAGATGTTGTTACAGTTAGAACCAGTTAAAAGTTCTTCGAATGTTTTTGAGTTAAGAAAGCTCTATGATCAGTTACAAATCTGCGTTAGAAATTTAAGTAGTTTAGATGTTACTAGCGGTTCATACGGACAGTTATTGAACCCAATAATTCTTAAATTGTTACCTGAAGATTTAGCTCTTGAATTCCATAGAAAAAGAACATCTAACCAAAATATAGAAAGTAAGTGAATTAATAGAGTTCATTAAAATAGAAAACTGAATGCCGAGAAGCAAGTATTTTGATTAATAGCTCAAAAGGTAATAAATACACAGGGGTTAATCCTAAACAAGGGTTAAAAAATTATAAAGTCAAATCACAAGCTTCTGCTTTTAACACATCGGTAAAAATGTTTTGCATATTCTGCAAATCAAACGAACATACATCTGCCATCTGCCGGATGTTTGAAATTTTCCGACGAACAAAAACGAAACAAATTAAAACGGGAAGGTCGCTGTTACAGATGCTTTCTGAGATCACATTTGCGGTCGTTTTGTCAATCAAAAATACAACCATGCGAAAATTGTAACGAGAAAAATCATAATAAACTTTTCTGCCGTTTGAAATCGAAAGAAATGGAAGATGTTAACTCCGCAGATACGCAAAATAAAACTTTAGTATCTACTTCCCACTGTAACACTCTAAAACCTGAAAATAGTGTGCTTTTACAGACATGTTCTGTTATTGCTCAAAGCAAAAATAAATCGAGAATCGTAAGATTATTAATTGATTCAGGTAGTGAACGAAACTTCATCACCCACAAGTTAGCGCGCGATTTAGAATTGCAAGTCATTAGAAAAGAATTTCTAACAATTTATTCGTTTGGAAATCAGCGCGGTAACTCGCAAGAATTTGATGTATATAGTCTAAAAATAAAAAATAAAAA